GGAAGGAAAGAACTGTCTGCTGATGTCATAAACTGAATTTACATGTTTATGAGCTTAGTGAGAAATAAGGGAGGGATGAATAAAATGGCCTTATGTCACATGAACCTGGGGGGTGCAGGGGGGGCGGGCTGTGTCCTGTTCGGTGGTAAAGAGCAGGGCAGCGACTGAAGCCTGGCCACCTCACGCCAGTCCCCAGCCTTGTCCACTGGTGCTGCTCCTTCCTCCGGGACGACAGACTCCACCGGGCTCCCATACAGCCCCACCGAGCCACAATTAGAGACCCCCCCCCCCGCATCAGGCAGACAGCTGGTACACCCCCTCTGGGAATGCCAATTAAGTTTGTAAAACATTTAGGCAACAAAACTGTACGAGGGCAGCCGTGGCACCGGGGAGCGCCATCCCCAGCTCCCCAGAGCAGCTCCCCATCTGTACAGGCGTGGAGGGACATGCCGGCCCACTGGGCGTCACACTGCTCGTCATGCTCAGAGCAGCACTGCTGAAAGCTGCACTGCGGGGAGAATCGCAGTGTTACAGCTTCACTCACTGGCACCAACTCTTCCTGTCCGTCTGTCTCGTACAGCCACCTATATTCACATTCACAAGAATATTATAACTGCAATTATATTACACCTCACAAGCATGAACAGTTTTAAATTTCAGCTGGGAATACGACCAGTTGTAACCATCTTCCAGATGCACACGCATAATCACAGACATTGACTGAAGACGAACTCGTCTTTTCATTTGTTCGTGATTTTGCCAGTTTCGTTCTTGTGATAGAATAAAACAACCAATGATGGAAGCAAACGACGCGCAGCAGGGGACGCTGGGACACCGTGGTCACCACCCAGTGCTGCCATGACCTCACCCGAAAGTGGCCATCTGCACACGCGCTCCACCCGCCAGTCTGCCCACTCTCGCAGCATCCTATCTGAGTTATAACAATAACAACAAACAACAGCAATAATAATAATAATATTAATGTGTTCATTACAAAGGGCTAAAACTGCCTGACAGTCGAAAATCAAGAAAAATACATGTGATAAATCACTACTCAATTTGAACAAGTACTTAAAAATGAGCCATTAAATCTGGGCAAAAATGCACCCAGTCCACACCAGGTTTTATCACATTTATCACTGGAGATGCCCTGTGCCTCCTGGGCTCAGCTCCAGGCTCACAGGAGCCCAGCACCGGAAAATCAGTTTATGGATGGATGGAAGAATCTGTGGACTGTGACGCTTCTCCTGTATTTTTGACACAATGTGCGCTTCCTCCCCCAACCACGTGGGGTGCTATCTGCCATCAAAGGCCTCCTTACATATTCCTGAGCCCTCTCACCGCATCAGGTCCCTCTAATAGGCTTGTCCAAATCATCGCTTGATGTTTGGCTCCAGGAAAACTTGACAGGATTAAGACAATAAGTAGGCATTGAAACTAACATGGAAACCTGGGGGAAAAAAATTATACTAAAATAAAAATGGATGCCCTTAGCGATCTGACCCACGCTCTCCCTACCCTGGAACGTTCGGGAATCAGCCCACTCTCATGCTGTTTAAGCAAAACGCGAGCACACTGACAGATGGAGTGACAGAGTGAGTAACTAATTAAGACAGGAAGGGAGAAAGATCCACTCATCTTAAAACAAATTTTAAAAAAATCAGACACCCTCCTGCCGGTGGCTTTCCCCCCACGCAGCCATATCCGTGCTCTGAGCATCTCTATCGCTGCTAATTAGCTGTGCAATGATTAATTTGGAGGTTAAACGGAGTTATTTCTTGTAATGGTGTTGCCTTTGAAAGATCTCTCATTATGTCAATACCTCTCTGTTTGAATTCCTTTAAGACAACATTGTCCCAGAGAGAGGTGAGATGATGGGAAGAGAGTCACTGCATCGTAATGAGTGGCATCCCGGTCGTGGTGTGCTGCGGCACAAGGGTAGCAGTGCCTCTCATATGGACACAGGCACACTCACGTGCACGCTCACGTGAACATTCACATGCACACTCACATGCACGCTCACATTGACATTCACACTCACATGCACACTCACGTGAACATTCACATGCACGCTCACGTGCACGCTCAGGCACACTCACAGGCACACAGAAATGTAGTCCGCTTGGTCAACTCTGAGAAATCAGGGCCTTTCTGGAGAATAGTGACCCAGCTGGTCTTGGCCCAATATCCAGCAGAAATATTAAAACTCTAGTCAAACAAGTACAGTCATGACTTGGGGTATATGAAAATCTTTTATGACCTAGGGGTTTAATAAATGTATAATATTTAGCTTCCTCCCCTATATACACCAATAGTACAGACACACATTTCTGTTTTTTTCAGGGGGAGAGGGTGCAAAGGCCAGAAGGATTTCCAGCTCTGAAAAACACCCAGTCTGTGAGACTGGTGAGGAGTTGAATTGGTTAAGACTCCTCGGCCAGTAAATGAGGCAGTTCAATGTTAACTCGTCACTGAGTCTCAGTTTATCCTTATTTAACATACACATACCATAAACAGAAGGCTTCTGCATGGGATGCCACCTGCATCCAGGCCTCTCTGATGCATGAACGTGCATGGCCACTAGGGGCAGCGCAGCACATAAAGTTGTCAAGACCTGCCACCTTTCTCCAAAGTCCTCCTGCAGGTAGTGCAGTCTGCTCTGGCATAAAAGTGAGAGAGGGAGAGAAGCACCTAAGAGAGGCTCATCAGACCGGACATCATAACCACATGAGCCACGATCGACCAGTCAGCTCTGTGGCTGCTTATTGCAGGAGATCCATGCATCATTTTCTCATGCTGCTTTTCACCAGCAGTGTTTCCAAGGGAACCTAAATGTCATAAAAGCTTTGATAATTTGATATTAACCCCGTGTCACATCCCCACAGACAGGCGTTTCAGATGCCAGGCCCGGTAATGATGTGAGATACGGGGCTCCCTCTCTATCAGCACGTTGCTCTTATGGATATTAGTGGTGTTGCCACCTTCATGACTATTAAATCCCTGAGGTATGAAACAGTCAGAGACATCGTGGTACAAAAGGAGTGTAATCTTCCAATCCACCATCTCTGTGTCAGGGAATTAATATGGAAACAAGTAAAATCGATACTGAGACCGTAAGCAGGAAACGTGGGTGATGTGGCCCGATCCGAAAGTCTCGGTCTCACGGGCACCACTGAACCAACTTTTCTATGTGTCAGAGTTCCATTCAGCTGTTCTTCACACCACATTATCAGTCAGGCCCCTATTAAATTCCACCAGTGAAGCCTCGCACATTCGGAGTACAATTTACCAGAAACGTTAATGTCTTCAGTCAGATGAGTTAAGAGGTGAGAAAAAAATATACATGCATAATTGGAACGAAGCACTGACATTTCTCATAACTCAAAGTTACAGCTGGACAGAGTAACACTGTTCTTATACAC